ACTTGAACTCATTAATTAGTAATCCAGTTACTTTACTACCTTTCAAATACATAATGACAATTACCTTATATTATGCTCAGCCATCCGGCGGTGTACAGTACTTTCACTAACTCCAAGCAGGTGAGAAATCTCCCGAACAGTTGCACCAGCTAAAACACTGCTTTTTATTGCTTTTGATTGATTGATTGATTTTCGGATAACTCTACAAGTTCGTCAAAAAGTACACTTATGTGAAACAGAGCATAATCAGCAGAATAATTTCCTAAATTATCAGACAAATGTTGCAACTCGTTGACAAGTCGTCTTCGGAGATCCAACGCCGCCATGATAGCATCAAGGCAGGTATAATCAAATTGAGAAGTCTTTCTGGATTAGCCAATCATTATAACAAGTCCGCCCCCTTCATTTGCATTTTATTGCAAGAGACGAGAAAAGAAAGTGTCGTGAAATAATAAAACAGAACATCAATAAAAGTAAAATATGAAGAAAAGAAATACATGCGGAAAGATAAATATTTCATTTTTTTTTATTTGTGCACAAAACCGCAGTTAAATAATAAAAATATATTTATTTTAATCTTAACCTTTGAAAGAACAGAAAAATAATAATGCTTTATCATTTTGTTTGGAACCTAAAAACGTTGTATAATAATAATGTATATTTATTAAATCTCATGATTTGTTGTGTTATCTTAATAATGATTGGCAGAATGTGACATTTATTTATTTATTTATAATTTTGACAGTTTTGGTCCTCCATACAGCACACTGAAGCGCACGCTTACAAACCACTGGTAAGTGCTGACTACAAGTCATGACTTCAAATTGTTATATAGAATTATTACAAATAATTTGTTGTTTGTGCAGCTTAGTCAAGAGTCCCTAATTGATGAAGTCGACTCAGATTCTGACGATTTAACTGTCAAGAAGAAACCTGTAAAAAAGTATGGAAAAAGAAAAATCCAAAACACTTTTCTTCAAGACTCGGAAAGTGACGAACCAAAGGCAAATAAGATTGTTATCATGCAGCTGCAAAAGAAGAAAAATGGGGGGCGAGTTTATAGCAAGAGACACTTCTGCCTCTACTGTTCAATGTCCTGCCACAAAATGTCCCGTCATTTGACTAGAAAACATGGAAATGAAAGTGACGTAGCCAGAGCATTGGCTCTACCTGTGAAATCTAAAGCACGTAAACTTCAGTTTGATTTGATCAGGAATAGTGGAAACCGTGAGCACAATTTTGAGGTTTTAAAGGCCGGCATTGGAACTTTAGTCCCAGCTAAACAGCCAAATTTCCCAGTTAAATCCAGTGAGTTTTTGCACTGTATAGACTGTGGGGCATTGCTTAAGCGAAAGTCGCTGTGGAGGCATGTGGCCAGGTGCCGGCTTTCACAGAAAGATGCCCAGGCTAAACCAGGTAGAAGTAGGGTCCAGTCCCTCTGCTCCCTAGCCCAGCCTGTACCGGAGGGCATCAGCAAAAAGCTGTGCTCTTTAATTTGGGCAATGCATCAGGATGAGGTCACGGGTGTTGTCAAAGCAGAAAAGGGGATTCTGAGACTCGGAGAGCACCTGTACTTAAAACACGGGCATGATAAGACTAAGCATGATTACATTAGGCAGAAAATGAGAGAAGTCGGTAGGTTAAAGCTGCACTAACTGACTTTATTTTTGTATTCATTACAAAAATGCTATCCATGTCCATGTAGTGCAGTGGGATATACGTCCTTTTGAAGAAAAAGTAGCGCAGATTTGTGCTGGCGTAACATAATATTTTAGATTGAGTTTTGATGAAACAAGGAAGAGAATGTGTTTTGGGTCGCAGATTGTGACCAATCACAGCGGACCACTAGCCCCCACTTTTGTGAGAAATCTACAGGTCTGTTAGCATAGACGGCTGAGTTAGCACAACAAGTGGCGGAGCTAACCTGAAGCTTCGTGTGTCTTCGTCACGGGTACTGCTTACACAGCGAGACAGCCATCCAAAAGAAAGTCTCGTTCCTCCGCGCTTCCCGGTTCTATCGTTCTATGGTCACGCCATCCACGTGCAAATCCATATCCATGGTTTATCCATATTGGAAGACGCTAGCTTCGTCAACAACAGTGGGTGTGTGTGGGGGGCGATAGCTTCGTGGGTGCGGGGAGGGGAGCAGAAAGAGCGAGGCCAGCGAGTCCACGGCTTCAAAATCCCAAAGTCAGTTAGTGCAGCTTTAATTAACGAAGCAAAAACCGCAGGGAAACTGAAAACAATGAAGGATTTCTTTATTCCTTCCAACTTTAACCATGTGATTGATGCAGTCAGGTCTGTGGCTGGATATGATGAGGAAACAAATCAATACAAGACTCCATCCTTGGCGCTCAAACTCGGCCATAGCCTCAGAAAGCTAGCAGATATTCTTGAATGTGACTCAAAAATGGAGCATTGTGTTGATGAACTATTTATTAAAAACCTCCAACAAAGCCGGCTGCTTTTTGAGAAGAGGTGGGACGTCTGTGTTTCTTCTGCTGCCCTACAGACCCTCCGGCAAGCCAAGTGGAACACTCCGGACCTGCTCCCTCTGACTGAGGACGTTAGAGCCATGCATGCACATATTGAGGTATGTCGAACAGAATATGTGCAAACCCTAATAAGTGAGCCAACGTCTAAGCATTGGTCTAAACTGGCAGTTTTGACTCTTTGTGAGGTCATCATTTTCAATCGAAGAAGGGAAGGTGAGGTTTCAAAGATGCCACTGACAGCCTTTACCTTAAGAAGTAAGACTGGGATCCATTCTGACATTGCTCTGGGACTGTCCCAACTTGAGAAAAAGCTGTGTCAGCATTTTCAACGCATTGAAATTAAAGGGAAAAGAAGTCGGAAAGTGCCGGTTCTTTTGACTCCTGAAATGATTGCTTGGATGGAGGTGCTGGTGGAGAACAGAAGGGCCTGTTCCATCTCTGACCATAACCCATACTTCTTCTCCCGCCCGGGCGCAGACACCCACATCAGGGGATCAGACTCCCTACGCCAGGTAGCCAAAGAATGTGGTGCAGTGCATCCAGAGATGCTATCCTCAACCAAACTTAGAAAGCACATAGCTACTATGTCTACAGTTGTCAATATGAAAGAGAATGAAATGGACATACTTGCCAACTTCCTCGGCCATGACATTCGCATCCACAGGCAATATTACAGACTACCAGAGGGGACACTGGAGCTGGCCAAAATCAGCAAAGTGTTGATGGCCATGGAGCAGGGAAGAGTGACGGAATTCGAAGGAAAGAGCCTCGACCAGATACAAATTGAGCCTGAAGGTAATTCTTGATATTATTAAAATATGTATGATTTTTTTCCCCTAAAGGCCACTTGTATTTTTATTTTCTGTGCGACAGGGAGAGCAGTAGAGATCCTCTCACAAACGGACGGGCTAAAAGAAACTTCAAGCGGAGAACCTTCAACCATTCATCCAGATGCACCCCATGGTAGTGGCAGTGCCCCTTCTGGTAAGTGTACCAGGTGGGGGATTACAGCCAGGCTGCTTGGTCCTAAGCCTGGGAGTGTATATTGCTAATATATTTTTATTTCTCTCCCTAGAACGTTAGAGAAAGCCATGGTCTGCATCTGAGGTGAAGGCTGTGGAGAAGACCATGACACCTTTCATACAGACTGGAAAGGTCCCTGGGAAGTCTCACTGCCTGGCCTGCATTAATGCCTCACCAGATGACCTTAGACATCGAACATGGAGTGGCATTACATTCTATGTCAAAAATAGAATCACTGCAATTCGAAAAAAAAAAATCTAAAATAAAATTCCTTTAAAATAGTTGTTTGGTTTCTATTGACTGTTTTGTATTACTTAAAGTAGTCCCAGTAAAAAAAGATTATGTCTATGGGTCCCATTCTGAACGGCCCTGTCAAAGGGACCCACCAGGTAACAAAAACGTGTATGTGTGTGTGTGTGAGAATTTTGGGGTTGTGTCTCCAGACTACATTAGAAGGTCACACTGGCTCGATGTAAACAAGCAAAGTGGGCACACTTCCAGATTGCAAAACAACTCACCCACCACTGCCTACAGAAAACCCCACTTTGTGGCCCCCGGTCTCACTGCCACCTACGAGCATCTGTCTGTAGTGGGGGGAGGGGCACACGGAGGTAGCTATGTTGCCTTTACGATCTGCGGCTGGTTGGATGGTGTCTACTCTGGGCTGTTCTGATCCCTCAGTGTCCAGTCCAGCAGTGACCCTTTTACAGTGAGGCAGAGTCTGAAAAACAATCCTTGAGACGGCCAATTTAAAAAACAACAGATATCAGTTTGTGAATGAGATTGTTTTTTTCTCTAAAGTCTAAACAATTTTGGAGCGCTCTGGGTTTTCCAACATTTTTCATTTCATTTCATTTTCAACCCCTTTGTCCATTTCTGGGTCGGGGGGGGTGGCAATGAGAGCTGCCACCCAACGCTCATAGCACCAGTCCTTCTGATCCTCTGCAGGGGGTGAGTCCACAGGAAGATAGCTGCTCCGTCAATTGTGAAACAGCCTTGATCTTTCAGCGGGGGGCTTAAGTGTCTTGCCCAAGGACACAACAACAGCAGTCATCAGTGGGAGCAGTTGGAGTAGGTCCCATGGTGGGAATCGAACTCACGACCTCCAGGCCCAAAGGCCAATGCTCTACCAACTGAGCTACTGTCGCCACTGTCGTCGGTTTTCCAACATGCGCTATATAAATAAAGATTACTTATTATCCTACTAATGATGACATTTTTAGGACCAGAAACTCTCTTAATAAAAAACAAGACTCAAATCTCAAAAAACCTTTTAAACTTTAAAATGTGTACTTTTGTACTGTGTGTTTAATTATCAATGTGTCTTTGGGTTTCTTGAAACCTATGAAAAACTATGAAAAATCTCTATAAAAATGAAAATGAATTTGGAAAAACATTAAAACAACTTATGAAATAAAAACAAAAGATTAGACGATTTAGCTCCAGCTAAACTGGATTTGGTTTAAATAAAACTCAATTGTGTCAGAGCTGCCTCCTCTTGTCTCTGGGCAGCAGCAGCAGCAGGAGCAGCAGCAGCAGCGGCAGCAGCGGCAGCAGCAGCAGCGGCAGCAGCGGCAGCAGCGGCAGCAGCAGCAGGAGCAGCGGCGGCAGCGGCAGCAGCGGCAGGAGCAGCGGCAGCAGCGGCAGGAGCAGCGGCAGCGGCGGCAGCAGCAGCGGCAGCGGCAGCAGGAGCAGCAGCAGCGGCAGCAGCAGCAGCGGCAGCGGCAGCGGCAGCAGCAGGAGCAGCAGCAGCAGGAGCAGCAGCAGCAGCAGCGGCAGCAGCAGCAGCGGCAGCAGCAGCAGCAGCAGCAGCGGCAGCAGCAGCAGCAGCAGCAGCGGCAGCGGCAGCAGCAGCAGCGGCAGCAGCAGCAGGAGCAGCGGCAGCAGCAGCAGCAGCAGCAGCGGCAGCGGCAGGAGCAGCAGCAGCAGGAGCAGCAGGAGCAAGGTCAGAGCTAAACAAAACAAAAACTTGCAATGTGAATTGTGTGAAAGTTCAACTCAATAATATAATACTTTTACAGCTAATCTTTATTCCCTCTTTCTTTTTAGACAAAGTCTATGATCAATAATCACTTTTAACACAAATTCTAATTTAAATGTTTTGAAAAACGGCTTTTTGTAACTAAAATGAAAATACATAAAAACAAACACAACTCACAAACAGTTAAGAAATATCAGGTTTAAAAGAATGGAATCTAGAAATAAGTTAGCAGATCTGAAAAGAATTGCACAGCTTAAGCACTAATATTTGGGTTTCAAAAACAATAATTCAAAACTTCTATTCCCTATATGTGTTTAAAAACGTTTAACTGTGTCATAACACAATGTTCCATCGCAAATATCGCAAATTTAACGGAATAAAAACTATGAAAAGCCAAAATCCTAAAAGCAGTAGGTCCCCTTTAAATCAGAGCAGCAGCAGCGGGGGGGTGGGGGGGTGAGATTGAAGCAACTTTTGTTAAAGTTAAACTCATCATTCTATCAATGTGCAGAAGCCAGTACTTTTCCCTTGTTGGACGCTGAGAAGCTGATCCATGCCTTTGTCTCTTCCAGGTTGGATTACTGCAATGCCCTCCTCGTCGGGACCTCCGCAAAGGGTCTGCAAAAACTCCAGTACATCCAGAACTGTGCTGCCCGGGTCCTGACGAGGAGGCGCAAATATGACCACATCTCACCCGTCCTCGAATCACTCCACTGGCTGCCCATCAAACACAGAATACAGTACAAACTCTGCCTCCTCACATATCAATGCACACACGGAACTGCCCCTGCCTACCTCAGTGAACTCCTAACACCACACACCGCCTCTCGAAGTCCCCGTTCAACCACCTCCTCCCACTGCCTGCACCAACCCAGGACCAAACTCTCCACCATGGGAGATAGGGCCTTTCAGGCAGTAGCCCCCCGGCTCTGGAATGCCCTCCCAGAAACCCTCAGGGCCCCACAAAGTGTGGAGGCTTTTAAGAAAGGCCTAAGGACATTTCTATTCAAACAGGCCTTCTAGATATGTACAGTAATTATGTTTTTATGTTTTCTTGATGTTATATTTGATGTATTGTTTTTATGTTGTGTATCTTGGGGATGTTCCCTGTTTTTGTAGCACTCTGAGGTTTCCCTGAAATTTAAAGTGCATTATAAATAAAATGTATTATTATTATTATTATCTGAAGGCCAAGCTACATGGCACCGTGGCAGCTGCTGATTGGAGGTCTCCAGGCCTCCGCTCTGTATAATACACTTGCATTCTGTGTTCGTGTTGTTCGTGCTGTCTCTACCATCGACAATAAAGACGCGATCCCAGACATGTCATCTTCTTCAGGGGGGGCAACGGCAGCAAGATAGAGCTGTGCACACACACAGGCAGAAAGTTGTGTTTTAGCAAAAATGCAAAAACAGAAAGAAGAACTTTCAAGATAACTTTTTTAAGCAAATATAACTGATGTTGTTCTTTAAACTTTTGTCATCCAAGTCTAGAAATGATCACTTCCCACACTAGTAACAAAAGGAACTCTTAGTGCACTGCAAAAAGTCCCTTGCTAGAAACAAGAAAAAAAAAACACAAAAGACGACAATTTTGCTTATTTTAAGCAAAAAAATCTGCCAATGGGGTAAGAATTTTTTCCTTGCCTAGAATTCTTGTTTTAAGATTTTTTTCCTAATGTGTCCTGGGGAAAAAAACAAGAATATATTTCTTGATTTAAGAAATTTTCTTCCAATAAAAAGGTCAGATTTAAGCAAAATAATCTCATTATGGGATAATTTCAGGAAATAATGCTCAAATCCATTTCAAATTGAGGATACATTTGCTTGTTTTGTTCTTTTTAGCAGACTTTTTCTATTTCTAGTCTAGTTTTAAGCAAAATGGGCTTAATAAGCAAAATAATCTAAGCAAAATATTCTTGATAAATGTACAATTTATAGAACTTTTTTCTTGTTTTTTGTAATTAGTATATAATTTACTCAAAATGCATACAAAATAGTGTCTTGAAACAAAATTCTCTTTACATTGTATTTATTAACCAATCTGAACATGCATGGTAGAAATCAGTGATGTACATTCATTTAGTGAAGGTAAAAAGTACCAAACTGAGAAATTATCAAGCTGCAATCCAAAACATAACAGTAATGAACAACAATATAAAGAAAATTACAAATTCACTCACTCAGTAAATGATTTCCACTCTACCATGGCTCGTTTGTATGAAGATGTGGCATCTCTGTCATGGATGGAATCTTCAAGAACTTCAGTTTGAAGAACTGAGAGCAGTGTGGAAATGCACTTTGGATAAGTGAGGTGCAAGGTGTAATAATAAGCCAACAGGTACACAAGTCCTTCATTTAGCTTTGCACTTGGAAAGGTGGTCACTGGCGTGTTGTCGATTGCAATCATGCAGTTATCCATGCCCATGAGCAGAACAGGCGAGAACAGTGTCCGTTGTTGAAGATAACGTTCAGGGTCCTCTGCTGCCTATTCAAAAAAATGCAACTTTGTTAGAGCACTAAAACACACAAACACATTAAAAAAATTAAAATACACACCTTGAGAACATGGAAAAAGGCTTCACTGCAGGCTCCCAACTTTTTGGGTGGTGGCGCACCTGATGGAAAAAGGTCCGGAAGCGCAGCAAAGACTGCCAGAGCATGGTCCTCTGGTTTTAAAACAATAACATACCAATTTTTAATGATACTACCGTAATAAAAATATTAAAATTATGTTACTGCATAATGTTAATACTGTATTCTCACCAATATTCAGAGTCTTTGGGGGCTTCATGGCCTTTTTCATAACCCCATAGAACTTAACTTTTGAGAAAAAGTTTTCCCATCTGCTTAAAGTCTCTGCGATGTAGTTTGAGTTTTTTGGTTGGATTATCCTCTGCATCTCATCCAGTACCTGGGAAATGTAAATGTCCTTTATATAAACTGTAGTTTATGTCTTAGGTTCTTATGGAAAGAAGACTATTGGCTTGATTGTAATTACCCTGTTAACATTTTGGCTGCAGAGCTATGAGACATCTTCAGAACTGAAGATACCTTGCAGCCAAAACGTTAACAAGGTGATTACATCTCAACCAATAGTCTTCTTTCCATAAGAACCTCAGTGAAAAAACATCTAAAAACACATCAATAAAAATTGGTCTAAAATACAGTAGTACTTACATGATCCAACTCCTTGAAACACGGATAAGCCTCAATAACTTTAGCTGCTCTGTCTTGCTCCTTCAGAACTTCAGATGTGATGAAACGTCTTCTGGATTCAAATTCCAAATTCAGCAAATGAGTCACCGCTGCTTTGTTTGGTTTTTTGGCCTTGTACATGTTTTGCAGGGCCTTATAGTGTCTTGCTTGGCTCTTTGGTGTGTCCAGTTGATCAGCAGAACCCACTAAAAGTTACATAGATTTGTATTTACATTAAACATGTATTGATAAAACAATATATATACAAGTTAATAAAAACAGTGTGAACCTGCATCCTCCTCACTGGTGTCCAAATTAGGCTGAGGGGTGCTGCTTGCAGCAGGAGACCTTTCAATAATGATGGTGGATGCTTGGCTTGATCCTGTTGAGTATCCTTCAAAATCATCCGAGAGAAACTGCTCACTGGTCATGCGACGTTTTCTGGATGGTGTTCCAGCTGTTTTAGGGATTTTGATATTTGATAGTCTTTTCATAAGTTTCTTGGCAATATGTCCCTGCAAGAAAGAAAAGACGTTTATGTGAATAAATCCTTAAAATAAATAATGAATGATAAAAAACACAAAAAATGTACTTACCCATTCATCGCCAGATGTTCCTTTTAACATTGGATAATACTCAACTAATCTTTTAGCCATAGTATCAACCTCATGTTTGGAAGGGTACCTAGAGTCTTGTAGAGCTCTTGCAATTGAAATCATATTTGTCATGGTGTTCCTTATTAGTCGGCAGAAGAGCTCTTTGGACATATCAGCAGTGGTGGGGCCAAGACGTTTTTGTTCAAAGTAGTATGAACGGACCTGCTCAAGTTCACCATCTGTGTACACAATGTATTCTGGAGTTGAGATGGTCAAAAACTTTGAAGTGTTGGGGTTCTCTTCTGGAAGTGCACTGGCTGATGTTGTTGAAAGTTTTGATGTCTCCAATTTTTTCCCAGCAGCCTCCACCTGCACATTGATAAACGCATTACAATGCATATTATGTTCACTTAAACCAGGTCCATAACTGTTGTTGTGTAATATTTTATCTTCTACATACAGAGAGCTGATTGAGGGACCCTATTTTTCACTGAAAAAGCTGGTGGTCAAACACACATGCATGTGGAAACTAATGAGTGAGAAAAGTACTTTATCTTATATTATAACTTGGTCAAACAAACACAAACATTTGGTTTTAAAAACATACTTACACTTTCATCTTTACTCACAAGAAGCCATAATGCTCGGCGTCTAAGAAAGTTTTCAGGACCTGGCATCAGATCTTTAATGTCATCTCTGGAGAGAGACCAGAGTAAATCCTCCTCGATATTAGCAGCTAAAACATAAATGTTCACATTTTAATAATACCATATGTCCATTTGTACGTATAATACCCCTACTCTAATACTAGACTTGTGTAAATATTATATCTATAACTTTTTACAAATTAATACATTCTTGAGAACATACACATTTTGCCAGTTAGCAAACTCGGCGCAACTTAGCTTTAGCTTGCTAGCTTATCCCTCAAATTACAAACACTACACAAATGCTGCTCCTTGAAAGTTCCACATGATTCCCAGATATATCTACCTCTTAGAGTTTCAACTGTAACTTCGTCAAGTGTATCCATTACTTGCGTAATAATTATTCACAGGGTTATTTTTAATATTATTACTCGCTCCCGTTGACGAGCTTCCTCTCGGACCGTTAAAAGACGCGGCGCACCCTTGAGTTTGAACATGCCGCTCAGTGGACTAGTCCATTATGTGAGCAACGGGGGGGACCAGATATTAGCAGCTAAAACAGCAATTGTTTTAGCAGCAATCGTAAATAAACCATATTACAACAATTAATAATATGGTTTAGCAAAAAAGTATATTAAAAATAAAATATATTATTTTTTATATCTTACCACCCCCACATTTTGAATTATTTGTCAGGCCCCGTGAAGGGCATTTGCGCGGGTGCTACCTCCCGAAAGAAAACAAACCTGTGTCTGCCGTACTGTTAGCAACATGATTTGGCGGTGCGTAATTTGCTTCGTGTTTGTTGGACTTACCCTTAAATCCCTTCTCAGTCACATAAACTCCGCTCATAGCCGAAGTCCGGACTTTCGAATCGTATGTGGAATTGATGGCTGTGATAAAGAATATCGCGTGTATAACTCACTTTGGTACCACATTCGGAGAAGCCACTCGGTGCATCTTAGTTGCAGCTCTACTTCCTCTCTCCCGTGGAGAAATACAGCACCAGCGAATCGGAACCATGGATCTATAGATCGGAACCCATGGGCCTTCATACCACCGGAGCAGATGCACAGGCGAGAGCAACCAGCAGGTGCTGGCGCAGGCCAGGGATCTCAGAGGCCAGAGCCTCAAAATGAACACCGCACTGTGAGTCCAGCAACACAGACGGCGCGCTTACAACCAGATGAGATGCTTTTGGATCATTTTGGAGACTTCAACAATGCGTCGCTGTTTGATGGCTTTGAACAACGCGACCCTGTTGTTTCCCCACCTCGAGACTCGCCGCCCCACGCTCGTACCAGGACCAACGAAGCTGTAACTTTACCGGATCCGCTCATGGAGCCTTTGGACAGTGCTTCTGCGTCTTGCTGTCGGGTAACTACCGTTTTATTACTTTTATGAAATATGTTATTATCATACAGATGACTCTTTTATTAAGATTGTTGTGACTAGGTTACAATGAGCTGTGTGCAGAACAACTAACTCAACAACATGTTATCAAGGACTAACCAGTTATAACCAGTCGTTTCTTTGAAGTACTAATTAAATATACTTAATCTAAAAATCTAACTTTCATAATTTAATAACGTTCTATTGTTTTTGGAATAAAATCTAAATTAATAATGTTTTATCAGAGCTCTCTACACAGTGACATAGAATAATTATTTTGTGTTAACCAGCTGAAATGTACACTTGGGACAGCAATAATCACAATCAATGTTCCTGATGCTGATTCAGCTGTTACAAGTTCTTACTAACAGTTCTATTTTCACAATAGGCATTGTACATGTCTAAATGGATCACACTCATACACTCATATTAGTCACTGTCTTATCTTAAGTTAGACAGCTGTGTTTCTGTTACAAATTGATTTGTTTTTTTTTTCGAAGGATGGCATTGACAGTGGCACTCTGATTAGACAAGCCACTTCAATTGTGCTGTGTGCGCGAGAAAAACATCATCTTTCACAGGTATGTAAGTACACAGGTTTTTTTGTTAATTTACTACATGCATATTTAGTTACTTGAATATTCCATATCTAAAATGTTAACTCGTTTGATTGTTCTTTATTTTTAGACTGGCGTAAATGATGTGGTGGCTGCAATACAGGAGTATCAAGGTCTGTTGGTGTCAAATTTGAGGAGTCAACTTCAAAGTGTCTTGCAGCAACATCCTGGAACAGAAGTTGAAGAGGAGGCAATGGCAGTGTTTGACCAGATTGAGGATCCCTTTGCAACAGTGTCAACCACATACAGGCAGGACAGTGTGATCAAGAAGACTTTCAATTTTGTTGAATCAGAGGAAGTGGCGGTGGGATATGCGGCATGCTTTCGAAAAAAAGGAGCAAAAAGGCTTTTGTCCACCAAACTAAAATGTTTTCATTATATCCCTCTTACAAAAAGCTTAGAACAGTTTTTGTCTCATCCTAAAGTTTTAGCTGTCATAGACCAGGACCAAACAAATAGAAATGGATACATTAGTGACATTATAGATGGAGAACTTATAAAATCACACCATTTTTTCTCAAGTCACCCTTCTGCTTTGCAAATTATTCTTTATTCTGATGAAATTGAAATATGTAACCCGCTTGGTTCTCATGCTTCAAAAAATAAGTTAATAATGTTTTATTATACTTTGGGAAATATTAATCCTAAATATAGATCAAAGTTAGCTTCAATTCGACTACTTGCCATGGCAAATACAAATGAACTGTCTGATTGTGGAGTTGACAAAGTATTAGAAAGACTGCAAGAGGATTTGGTGAAATTATATCATGGTGTAAAAATTCAAACCGCAACAGGTGAAAGGGAAATATACGGAGCAGTTGTGTCTATCTGTGGTGATACTTTAGCACAGCATGAGCTTTGTGGGTTCAAAGAGGGTGTGGGGTTTGCCTATAGCAAATGTCGACAATGTGAATGTGCATTTGAAGACATGCAAATGTACTTTAATGAAGACCACTTTGAGGAAAGAACACTTGACAGGCATATCAGACAGTGCAGTGACATAGAAAAAGCTGGTACAGAGTTTCTCAAAAATAGCCTAAAAACGACATATGGGATCAATAGGAGAAGTAAACTGATAGAATTTCCTGGTTTTAACATGATTAAACAAACCCCGCAAGATATAATGCACATAATTCTTGAAGGTATTGCGCCTTTAGAAATAAAATGTGTATTAAAGCATTTAGTGCTCCTCGGCCAACTTGATTTGGACAATTTAAATGCTGGAATAGTTGGTTTCCCATATTCTCCACTTGACGTCAGAGACAAACCAAGTACCATTTCATACAGTACTTTAGCCTCTAATGATAACAAGTTAAAGCAGTCATCAGGGCAAATGATTGTTCTTCTAAAAATACTACCTTTTCTGATTGATACAGCTAAAACTACTGAATGTTATGCTATTATTCTTGAACTTATAGCCATTGTTCAGATCCTGTTTTCTCCTGTCATTAGCCCTCAAACACTTAACAGATTCAAAATTCTAATTGAGCAACATTTAAAACGCATGAAGCGTACTTTTCCAGATCAAAACATTACACCAAAACAGCATTATTTAATACACATTCCAGGTCAGATTAAAAACCTCGGACCAATGATACGTCACATGTGCATGAGATTTGAATCAAAGCATTGTTTTTTTAAACAGTGGGTGTCAAAAGTAAATTTTAAAAATGTTTGCAAGTCATTAATAAGACATAATCAGATGTATGAATGTTGCCAGAATGCAACAAGCTCTGATCATCCCATTTTCTCAACTGAATGTGTTCTTGGACCCACATCTGAAGTTAAAAACATGTTATATCTTAAAGAAAAAGTAAGAGTGTTCTTTCGAAATGAACATGTCACTCATGCAGTGTCAGTTAAATGGATAAATCTAAATGGAAATAAATATGTCTCTGGTAAAACATTAATTGTCAATGCTGTCAAAAATGACTTACCTGAATTTGGACTGATAAGAAACATATTTGTTGTAAATTCTTATATGTATTGTTTTGAGTTCCAGCCTTATGCCACTGTTAGTTACAATAGAGATTATATGGCATATCAAATTGAAATTCCAAACATGGCTCAAGCAAATGAATTCATCTCTTCAGATGCTATTGTAGACTATACTCCATATTACAGTGTTGTACACAAAGATGTAATATATGTGCCCATTAAATATGATCTTGGAGACGTGATTGCATCACGAGCATGAGGTTGGCCAATCATTTTGTATTGTGTCACATAGGTGGGTTTGTGGTTCCTCTATGATGCAGGAGGGTCTAAGGACAGTGATGATCTGGGACATTTAAAGACATTTATTAACATTTCTGGACAGTGGTCATCCTGCTCCTTATATGGCTCCTATGTGTTTGTTATTATTGCATTTCCTGTGTTCGTATGATTCTCTGATCTGTTTTTGGTGAATCGACAACTTTGTAATGTCCTCCTAGGCAACTGCTGCTGTGGTTTTGGACGATACACAAATACATTGAAGTGAAACGCATTGAATTCAATTGAATAAAATATTTTTCTTATTTTAAGATTTCTTGTTTTCTTATTTTTTCTTGAATTAAGAAAGAGGCTTTATGTTTAAAGCCTAAATAAGTCATTGTTGCTTGTTTTGGATCCAAATATTACTTTTTAAAGTACATTTTTCTTAATAAGAAAAAGCTAGAATTAATTTCTAAAAATAAGAATTTTATTCTCAAGGAAATTTTGCTAGACAAGATAATTTTTCTTTTTATACAAAAAACAAGGTTTTTTTTCTCATTTCAAGACTTTTTTTACTTGCTTAGAATTGACTTTTTGCAGTGTGTATAACGTTTCCTTCTATTTTATTGAGGTAGCAAACAAATTTAAACTCAAAATCTCTTTCTAAAAAAAACTAAAAACAACTGTTGGAAACAACTGTTGGATACAGCAAATTACAAACAGCCTTTTTCTGTTTGTAATTTATCAAGTCTGGAATTGGTTAATTACAAAACTTTTGTAACAAAAGGCCTCTTTTTCACATTTCCCTTTTTAAAATGGCGTTTATTTTTACACCATGGTTTCACTAAAGATCCTTCACTTTATGGACAACACTTTTGGATCCTACACTTTATGTGAACACAATTTACAGAGAGTTCAACAGACCTCAAAAACAGACCAAAATTTAGCTAGTATCTAATTATGCAGACTTTACATATAAAAAGGTGTCTGCTTACCTTATTCTTGTCAAACAGGTGCATGCACGGACTGTCCGAGAGGTCTGCCAACCTCTTTTCCGCATCGGAATCCATCCACCCATCCATTTTCTGCCCTTTAATCCATTTCTGGGTCAGGGGGGTGGCAATCAGAGATGCCACCCAAGTCTCATAGCACCAGCCCCTCACTGACCCTCTGCAGGTGGTGAGTCCACAGGAGGACGGCTGCTCTCTGAGTGTGAGCATAGCCTTGATCTTTCAGTGGGGGCTTTGGGCAAAGTGGGGTTAAGTGTCTTGCCCAAGGACACAACGACAGCAGTCATCAGTGGGAGTCGGTGGAGAAGGTGCAGAGGTGGGAATTGAACCCACGACCTTCTGGGCTTAAGGCCAATGCTCTACCAACTGAGCTACTGTCGCCCCGCATCGGAATATTCAATTTAAAAAACAAAAGTGACAGAAGCGACAAGAAGCATCCAGGAACAGCTCTTCCAGCCTGCTGGAATCTCCGTTCCCAGACACAGCCGGTCTCTCACGCCGAGGAAAAGAAACAAAGGAAAGTCGAAGTCTCAGGCCTGATGTATGAGGAGAGGGCAGATGATGACCAGCGACCCAACGGCTGAAGGGCAGAATGGGGAAGACCCAGGGAAGCAGCGCGCGTAGCTGCGCCTATCCGGAAAGAGTGAGCTGTGTAGAAATGAGGGGACAAGTTACAAAGCAGCAGTACAGACTTGAGTTGGGCTCTGAACCAGTTAGATGCTGGAGCGAAGTGCGGCGCAGAGCTGGTGGAGGATGGACAGTGTGATGGGGCGCCTGTGGTCCGAGGAATGCGGGGTGCAGTTGTGAATGCCTTTGATGACGAGTTTGATTGATGGATCAGAAAATAGAGAGGAGAAAGCGGGGTTGTGACAGCGGGCCTGGAATTGTATCCCGGTGTAACGCCGAGATACACTTCCTTGAAGAGATGCACTTCCCCAGCTGTTTATGATGTAATGCAAACCTGCGCATGCGCGTCTCACGGCAACCGAAGCATACCAAGATGGCGGACCGTGAATTGCTTTAAAAGTTGAAATACGAACGAATTAAGACACGAATGTCACTTTTAATGCAATTTGAGGCGAGATGTTGATGGTTCCGTTTTGTCACATGTGGGTTTTAAGAGTCAAAGTTTCGTGCAAAGTTTAGTTTAAGCAGTCAACTGCGCCTGTGAAACCACAAAGCTAATGTTTTCATAGCAGTCCGCGGCTGCTGACGTAGGCTGATGACGCGTCCTGTGGCAACTCTACACTGGTCTGTCGGGTTGATAATGGAAATAATAAATTTCATTCAATACATGTATCGTACTGTATTTAATATGATTAACAATAGTGTGTTCAAACAAAATATTTAATTAGATTGATTTTTTTCCCCATTTTCCATTATCAACCCGACAGACCAGTGTAGAGTTGCCACAGGACGCGTCATCAGCCTACGTCAGCAGCCGCGGACTGCTATGAAAACATTAGCTTTGTGGTTTCACAGGCGCAGTTGACTGCTTAAACTAAACTTTGCACGAAACTTTGACTCTTAAAACCCACATGTGACAAAACGGAACCATCAACATCTCGCCTCAAATTGCATTAAAAGTGACATTCGTGTCTTAATTCGTTCGTATTTCAACTTTTAAAGCAATTCACGGTCCGCCATCTTGGTATGCTTCGGTTGCCGTGAGACGCGCATGCGCAGGTTTGCATTACATCATAAACAGCTGGGGAAGTGCATCTCTTCAAGGAAGTGTATCTCGGCGTTACACCGGCGAGAAGAGAGCAAATGTAAGAGATCTTGTAGTGGAGATTGTCCGCACAGTGAACTATGAAGGCACAGATTGTGCAAGCAGAGGGCGGAATTAGGGGAATGCAGTGAGCGTAGCAAAAGCTGGAGTAGACTTTCCAAGCAAAACTGTACGA